TTGGTTTTGCACCCGCCGCCACAACAGTTACGCTCCCCCCCCACCCCGCGCCTGTTCATTAAAAACGAGGCCAGCAATTGCTCGGTGCCATTCAGACTGAACAGCAGGATCTTTCTCGAGCGGGCAGCCAGGCAACGTTTGTGAACAGCAGGATCTTTCTCGAGCAGGCAGCCAGGCAACGTTTCCTCTTCTGGCTGCCTGTAACGTGCTGGTTGGAAACGGCTCCAGGGAGAGAGGGGTGTGTGTGTGTGTGTTTAGGCTGTCTGGAGCAACCCAGGATACACTCCAGTATTTTTCTTTTTAAGAAGCGGACGCAAAGAAACATAAAATTACATTCCTGTCCTTTCATTGAGGTTCGTCCCCCCCCGAACTTTTTCGTTCGTTCTTTCTTTCCCTTTGTAGCAGCGTAAGGAAGGACTTTTGGTTGCACAGAGGGAGAATTAAAAGTTAGAGAAGGTCCTGTGTTTTGCAGTGCAAAACATGACATATCTGCTCAAGTGTAAATTCGATTGAATCAAAGGTAAGTATAGGTTGCTGTTTTGCTAGGCCAATGCTTTTGCAGAACTGTGGCCCTCTGCTGAGGAGAAGAATTTAAAGGTGTTCCGCCCCTTATAAGAGAAGCCTCAGTCTAATCTGTAGGATGCAGGCTGGGTCTCAAATTTAGACATGGATATGCTGAATTTGAATGTCAGTGCAGATTTTAGAAATACACTACAGCTTTCTTGGCAGTCTGATCACAGATTGGTTAGAGAAGCCCAGATTGTCAAATTGACTACTTGATAGACTGAATGTAACTCTGCAGAAAGATGAATTGATTACTTTAACTCAGTTTTCAATAGGTATTCCAAAGTTGAAATTTACAGACCACTTCTAATTAGGCAAATCTGTGTTTTACATTAGATCATTTTGTAGACGGAGAAATACCTTTAGCACCTCTGGTTGATAATGTAATGATTCTCACATAATCCTGGGACAGGGTGTTGACATAAGGTCATGAACCTAACTATGAGTGAAATCTCTGTTAGGGAGTTCAACAAATATATATAATTGACACAAACAATAAGTATGCTGGTTGCTTGTTGCCACGTTGTGCAACTGCTGTGCTATTCCAACTGTGTAGTTCCTTCATATGAATAAGCTAGAGGCAGATTTTCCAGTAGCTTAGATTTTGGAGCAGATAATCTTAACTGAAGAGACTGTATCACATGCTAGAGAATTAACTGGTACAGGTACAGTATTTGTCTGCCATAAGATGCAAGATAGGGCAGATCCCATTTTCACATTATTACTTTTATCCCACCCTTTCTTTGCAAAGCAGTAAAAATCCTTGTTCGTATGCTGTGCTGCTCAGAGAGAAAATTACTCCAAGCTGTTGAATCTGAGATTTATAAAACTGTTGAATTCTTGCAAGGGAGATTGCATTCCCTTTTTTCTTCTTTTCCCTTCAAACAGTGTTTTTAATTGAGGTTTCTCAGAGTGTAAATTAATATGTTGCTTTCCCTTTTTTGTGTGTACTTTGTTGTGTTTAATTTGAGTGTCATTCTCCAAAATTCTGGTTTCAATGTACAGTATTTAATTTTCAAGATATAAAGTGGTGTACTATATACTCTGTAGGATCCAGGGATGCTTGATGTGAATGAGAAACCCACCTTGATATTTCTTTGAAGGTCTTCTGGAAGTGTGACATGTTTAATCACATAGATTCCTCAAGGATCATCTATTGGAAGTGGAGGAAGACAATGAGGGGGTTAGGGTTGCAGATGGAATCCTGATGGATTGGTTGGGGTAAACCCGTGCTGAAGAGCCAGATACAGTGGGGTCTTGACTTAAGAACGGCTTGAGTTAAGAACATTTTGACTTAAGAACCGCTCTCATAGGAAAATATTGACTTGACTTAAGTACTTAGATTTGAGTTAAGAACTGAAAAAAAACCACGTGGGAGGCAGGGAAAGTGCAAAATTTGAACTTTCAGTTAACTGTTGGCCATGTTGCCTTCCCTTTTTTGTGTGTACTTTGTTGTGTTTAACTTGAGTGTCATTCTCCAAAATTCTGGTTTCAATGTACAGTATTTAATTTTCAAGATATAAAGTGGTGTACTATATACTCTGTAGGATCCAGGGATGCTTGATGTGAATGAGAAACCCACCATGATATTTCTTTGAAGGTCTTCTGGAAGTGTGACACGTTTAATCACATAGATTCCTCAAGGAAGTGGAAGAAGACAATGAGGGGGTGAGGATTGCAGATGGAATCCTGATGGATTGATTGGGGTAAACCTGTGCTGAAGAGCCAGATACAGTTTTTGAGGAAGCTCACTGGTTATATTTTGATTTTAAACTGTCTCTGCTCATCCTTTGGTGTCAAAAAGTCTTTGCAATTTCTGAGTTTCTGTGGTAGAAATGTGAATGAATTTAAGAGTTGTTGGCTCTTAAGTCATGATTTATGCAAATAAAAGTGTTGGATTTTGTATTACTGACTAAAGCAGTGATGGGAATGTATGTCCTTTAGGTGTTGTTGAATTACAGTTCGCAGCAGCCTTAGCCAGTGGTAGGGAAGGTTGGGATCTGCAGCCCAGCAGTGTCTGGAGAGCAACACTTCACTCAAACCTGTTTTTATTGTTTTCCATCAGTCTTTTATCCCCTTTTGGTCAGTTTAATTCTGAGATCTGTTTCAGAAAGTATTGTTTCAGAAAGTATTGTTTTAGAAAGTATTGTTTCAGAACGTATTCCAGTCTTCAAAAGCTTATGTTAAATAAAACTGGTTTTAAGGCACCACAAGATTTTTTTTTGTTGGTTTTGTTCAACAGACTGACATAACTCCATTCTACTGTTTATTAACTGTTTGGTTAATAAATTGGTTTGCAACTTACTTTACTCCTCAGTAATTTTCATTACATTTTCATAGCATTTTTGTTCTGAATAGTTTGATGAAACAGTATACTCATTCGCTGAAATCCTTTGCTTTGCATCGCAAGTTGCAACTAGAGTAGCCCTATTGTTCAGAGAAGGGCGACCAGGATGATCAGAGGGCTGGAAACTAAACCTTATGAGGAAAGGCTGAAAGAATTGGGCATGTTTAGCCTTGAGAAAAGAAGGCTGAGGGATGATATGATAGCACTTTTCAGAGAAGGGGCAGGATCTCTTCCCTCTCATCCTAGAGTGCAGGACACTCAACTATGGGCTCAAGTTAAAGGAAGCCAGATTTCAGCTGAATATCAGGGAAAACCTAACTGTTAGAGCAGTGCAACAGTAGAATCAGTTACCTTGGGAGTTGGTGAGTACTCCACCCTGGAGGCATTCAAGAAAAACTTGAATAATCACCTGGCAGATATGCTTTGATTGTATTCCTGCATTGAGCAGGGGGTTGGACTTGATGGCCTTGTAGGCTTCTTCCAACTTCACTTTTCTGTGATTCTATGATTCTGTGAACCAATAGAACTTATGGAGACGTTGATTATCAAATTCCCACTGATTCAGTGTGCCTGTTCTAGTTGCAAATTACTGTGCTAAGCAACAGGATTGTAGCCTATACAGTACATCTGGGTTGAAAAGTGGATGCACTTTTACAGTAAAACATTTTATGTCTCCCCAGTCTTTCTCTTACTGGTAATTCCTTGCAGAGCGGCTGCTGCTTAACTGTATGTTCCTTTTCTTCCTATAGCCATTTAGTGATGCTATTTTCTCAAGTGCATTCTTCTAAATGCATTGCTAAGCATCAGAGAACAGTATAATTACACAAGTACCAAGAAGATCGGAGACTGAGGGGAAATCCACTATCCCTTGCAGCTTTTATGGTTGAGTGAAGGTGTTGTCTGTTTGGTTTTGGAATCTTAGGCACAGAAAACATTTACTCACTCTCAAATTGGCAGAGGTTTTAATGAACACATTCTAGGTCTTGCAGGTCTGTTGACTTTGCGTTTATGGCATATGGATTAAAATCCAGATATAAAATGGTTCAGTTGGAGGCAGAGGTTGTGTGTCTTCATTAACAGAGCAAGTTAATGTGGTTAACAAAGCAAGTATCTGTGGCCAAATAATCACTTCATAATAAAATCCTCAAGTCCTAGTGAGTTCAGTGGAATTTACTTGCATGAACTTTAATCCTTTAAAACTCCTAGTCTAAGACAGTGTTTTAGAAAACCATGTATATTTGTGCTCTTGTGAAACACAAATTCATCAATGTAGAATACTCAAGGGGCTGGTCCTCCTGCCTGTTTATTGTACATGATAGAAATTTCAGTGGTTTGGGTTTGCCAAAATGGCAGCTTGTGTTGCCATTAGTT